TGTACAGTCATATTTTTGGGCTCTAATTAAAGGCTACACTTAGAGATATTCTATCCCTTATCCATATTCACTGTCAATACTTGCTGACTAATTGAAGGAAAATTGAATAACTTAAACTCACTATACAGTATATACACATACTGTATGTCTACATGTATAAACAAAAATTGCACATACATATATATATATATATATATATATATATATATATATATATATAAATATGTATATATATATATATATATATATATATATATATATATGTGTGTGTGTATATATGCAATTTTTGTTTATACATGTAGACATACAGTATGTGTATATGTGTGTATACATATATATATACATACATATATATATATATAGGGCTCAACATATAGTGTTTTGATCTATTGACCGTCAAAGCGAGGGCGGGACCAGTTCCCAAGCTATGCGCTCCTTGGATGTTGACGCCTATTGACACATCTTAGAAGCAACTATTGGTTCAAATGATACATCAATCAAAAGGGCAAAGGTCAGCGGCCATTTTCCTTTCAAAATAGTAGCATTGTTAACATCTAAAAAGACACTAAACAACCGAACACATCAAAGATTTGATTGCTCTGGTGACTAGTTTGAAATGATAGCGATAGTGATAGTCTAGTTCACTAGAGTTAAGCTGGTTGGCAGGTAGCCCAGGTTCACATAGTCTAGTTCACTAGAGTTAAGCTGGTTGGCAAATCAGTCCAAGCTCACATAGTCTAGTACACTAGAGTTAAGTTGTTAAGTTGTTGATTTCTTTCTTTTCTTCTTTCCAATTTTATCGAGTTCTTTGCATATGTAATTTATAGACAAAATATGTAAAATTGCAAATCTGCTTTTAAATATATTTATCTTCATTAAAATGTATTTGACCAAAAAAAAAGCACTACCTTAGTGACAACTCCTGTACCTTTATTCCTGATAGTGTAGAAACTGGATCTCAGGTATAGTGGATAGAATAGGGAGTTTAGTGAGTAGGGACAATGACTAAAGAGGACCTTTCATGCATTTGAGCAATTTAAAATAATGTGATATGAGGTTTCACAACTGTTATGAATGTTGAAATGCCAGAGAGTGAGCAATATTACAGATATCAGTGTGTTAAGATCTGAGAAGCAGAACAGGTCAGCCATTGCTCAACCTCTGAGGATCATGAACAGTCTGCTCTCCAACACTTCTGAGCAGAACTGTGTATATCACAGACAGATGTGTGCTTGTGGGTGAAACACAGTCACATGTCCAGATTAAGTAAACACACACACACACACACTCTCACATATACTGCTCAAGTGTGTGTGAACATGCAGAAAGGAACAGACACACAGTGGTTCTCCCTGTTCACACATACAATATCAATGCAGAAGGTCTCAGGCTTGCATGGGTGCTGGAGACCCAGACAGGCGATGATGTGCACAGAATTCAACAATCACAGGTTCAGACATCCAACAACACTTTAGTTTCATACCCACCATACAATTTGCATAACTTTAGAAGCAACCTGACAGACATTTAATGCTTTTAAACCAGTGGGCCTCAAGCTTTTTGACTTTAAGCTGTTTGTAGAATAAGTTTGTGATTTCTTGAAAAAATAATTATGGAATGGAATGGAATAATTGTCAGGTATTCTAAGACTCTCTCTACAAAAACTTTTTCTCAAGTTGTTTAGGCTGATTTTTATACCTATTTTGCAGTTTAATACTTTATTTTAAATGATAAAAAAAAAAAACTCACAAAGCTCAAGACCCCCGTTTGGGAACTATTATTTTAATTTTTAAAACTCTGTTATTTTATTATTACAGTATTCATCTTAATACAGTAATCATACAGTATTAATAAGGTTTTAAATACAATGTAATGTGTAATACAAATATTTATTGCATATGTTTGAACAACATTTTAAATTAAATTAAATTAAATTAAATTAAATTAAATTAAATTAAATTTAATTTAATTTAATTTAATTTAATTTAATTTAATTAAGTGCCTTATTTATCAGGGGTCGCCACAGCATAATGAACCGCCTTTATTTTGTTTTATTTTGTTTTATTTTAATAAGTAATACAAATATTTATTGCATATGTTTCAACAATACTTTAATTAAATAAATTATTAATTTTCCTTCGACTTAGTCGGCTTTTTCATTTTATTTATTTATTTTTTAATATGTAATGCAAATATTTATTGCATATGTTTCAACAATACTTTAAATTAAAGTGCATTAAAGAATTTTATTTTATTTTATTTATTTTCTTTTCTTTGACTAAGTCCTTTATTTCTCAGGGGTTACCTGAGAAAAAAAAATAAATAAATAAATAAATAAAAAAATACAAAAAAATAAAATACAAATAAATAAATAAATAAATACATGCATAAATAAAATAAAATAAAATAAAATAAAATAAAATAAAAGTGGTTCATTCTACTGTGGCAACCCCTAAGAAATAAGCGACTAAGCCGAAGGAAAATGAATGAATGAATAAAAAACAAAAAACAAAATAAAATATCATTTAGGTTATTTATTAAATTTTATTAAATTACATTACATTTAATTATAGTGTAATAAAGAGTAGGAGTGATAAATACATTAAGAAATATTATATCATATTAATGTATACAAGACAACAGCATGTGAAAAACATTTTAATAAAAAAATATCCACTGAAATACATAATAATTTTGATGTTTTTGTAAATATGCAGTGCTAACAGATAATGTTGATCATGGAGATGTTATGAATACTCTATGGTGGGCACTACAATTAAAGTATTATTAACACCAGGACAGATGTGTGGGTGAGGAGCTGTACTGGAAGTCTGGAATAATAATCAATTGCCATGATGTATGTTTACTCACCATCAATGGAAAAGAGCACACAAAGAAAAGAAGACAGAAGCACATGTAAAAGAAGATTTAAAGCGTGACACACGAACAGAATGACAGGAAGAGGAAGCTGAAAAAAAGGCTTGTTCACACCAAGAATGACAATACAATATTTAAAAATCACATTAAATGATATGAGAAAAGCATTACAGAGTGTTGCAAACGTAACTTTTGTATCAACAAGAAGCTAAAGTTCCTATTTTTAAGTATTATAATGACTTATCCTAGAAATCCTAGAACCGACGCTGTCTGTCAGAGTTATTTCCGCAGACTAAAATGTTTTTATGCTCTAATTTTTCCAATTGAAGTGAACATTCTTTACATCTCTACTATCAGACATCTATGTGAAATATGCTGTTTGAAATATGTGGGAAATTCTTCATCTGTAGAAATATGTAAATGAATCTTCCGATATTTACTCTCATAGAAAGAAGAATCGGGACACGTGAATGTTATTAAACATATGTATATACAGAACAATGTGAATGAGATTACCAAAGAATGCAAATAAATGTAATATAAAATACAGTGCTACGCATAAATGAGTACTGATCTCTTTTTTTAAATTAGTATACATTCACCGGCCACTTTATTAGGTACACCTGTCCAACTGTTTGTTTACGCAGTTTTTTTAATCAGCCAATCACAAGGCAGCAACTTAATGCATTTAGGCATGAAGACATTGTCAAGACGATCTGCTGCAGATCAAACCGAGCATCAGAATGGGGAAGAAAGGTGATTTAAGTGGCTTTGAACGTGACATGGTTTTTGGTACCAGACGGGCTGGTCTGAGTATTTCAGAAACTGTTGATCTACTGGAATTTTCACGCACAACCATCTCTAGGGTTTACAGAGAATGGTCCGAAAAAGAAAAAATATCCAGTGAGCGGCAGTTCTGTGGGCGCGAATGTCTTGTTGATGCCAGAGGTCAGAGGAGAATGGCCAGACTGAATCCAGCTGATAGAAAGGCAACAGTAACTCAAATAACCACGTGTTACAACCAAGGTATGCAGAAGAAGCTGGATGGGCTACAGCAGCAGAAGACCACACCACATGTCTCTCCTGTTCACACAGGCTCATAAAAATTGGACAATAGAAGATTGGAAAAACATTTCCTGGTCTGATTATTGTAAAGCATCCTACAGAAATGCACTCACTGGCCACTTTATTAGGTACACCTTAATAGTATCAGGTTGAACCCCCTTTTGCCTTCAGAACTGCTTTAATCTACCGTGGCATAGATTCAATAAGGTATTGAAATATTCTTTGGAGATTTTGCTTTATATTGACATTATAGCATCACACAGTTGCTGCAGATTTGTCTCCTGTTCCACCACAGTTCAAAGGTGGTCTATTGGATTGAGCTCTGGTGACTGTGGAGGCCATTTGAGGACAGTAAACTCATTTTCATGTTCAAGAAACCAATCTGAGATTATTCACACTTTAGCCATCAGTAGATGGGTACACTGTGGTCAAATTCTGACCCTACCATCCGAATGTTTTCTGTATTTCTGAAATACAAAGACCAGCCCGTCGGAAACCAACAACCATGTCAAGTTCAAAGTCACTTAAATCACCTTTCTTCTCCATTCTGATGCTCAGTTTGAACTGCAGCAGATCTTCTTGATCATGTCATCATGTCTAAATGCATTGAGTTGCTGCCATGTGACTGGCTGATAAGAAATTTGCGTTAACGAGCAGTAGAACAGGTGTACCTAATAAAGTGGCCGGTGAGTGTATATTGATTTTATTCATTGTGAAACAGATAAAAACATAAATTTTCAAAATGAGGCATGCACATTTATGCTGAGCACTGGATTGCTAAAAAAATGGGTTTCACGCAATTCATTTTGTGTGAAGGAATTAAGTTAAACGACTTGTTTTTACAAATTAAAGTTGATTGAACGTAAAACAATTAAGTTGTCAAAAAAAAAACTCAAGAAGTGTGTTGTTTCAACTTATTTTAAATAAGTAGTTTGAACAAACAGCAAACATCTTTTTTTTTGAGTAACTTTACAAAATTAGAATGATTTTAAGTCGAGTTATAAATGCGTAAAAATGGCTGAGATTTGTCCAAATAAAGGCAGTGTATATCTACCTACCTCTCTCTGTACTCCAATCACATAGAAGGTTTTTCCTTCAAACTTGAATTTGCTGACATCTGCCCTGCAAGAGTGAGACATCGCGAGTCAAATATTAGTATTCAAGCTTTCCTTGTGAAACTGTCTTCATGAGCAGTGATATGAGAGAGGAAAAACTCTTCAGACGTCTGGCCTTGTGTTCATTCATCTGCTTGTTGACTGTGGGCCGCTGTTAACAACTGCACAAAAGCTCAAGTCACAGATCAGACGCTCGGAGATCTGCTGATGAAAACTGCATCTGATCGACTGGCCTTACATAACAGCTGTGATTCACAGCTTTAAACGGTCCGCCAAGAAACAGGTTTGTTTACAAGCTCACAGACTGATTTACAGCTAAAACAGATTCTAGTCGCACTTGCACGGCTCGTGCCATCCAGCCTTGTCTCTAGAGTTATGCCTGATTTGTTTATAGTAGGGCCGTGCAATAGACAGTAGTGTGAAAAAGTGTTTGCCCCCTTACTGAATTTGTTTTGCATGTTTGTCTCACTTTAATGTTTCAAATCGTCAAAGAAATTTAAATATTAGTCAAAAAAAGTGAACACATCATGCTGTTTTGAAATGAAGATTTCTATTATCAAGGCAAAACAACACAGCCCAGTGTGAAAAAGTGTTTGCCTCTTAAAACATTTCTCTAGCCACACCCAGGTTTAATTACCGCCAAACCTGTCAATCAAAAACAAAAATCACTTAAACAAAACCTGTCTGACAAAGTGAAGTAGACCAAAAGATCCTCAAAAGCTAGACCTCATGCCAGGAGCCAAAGAAATTCAAAAACAAAAGAAAGAAAATAATTAAGATCTACCAGTCTGGAAAAGGTTATGAAGCCGTTTCTTAAGCTTTGGGACTGCAGTGAACCACAGTGAGAGCTATAATCTACAAATGGAAAAAACATGGAACAGTGGAGAACCATCCCATGAGTGGCAGACCGACCAAAACTAGCCCAAAACCACAGCAACAGCTCATCCAAGAGGTAACAAAAGACCCACAACAACATCCAAAAAACTGCAGGCCTCACTTAGTTAAAGCAAGTGTTCATGACTTCACCATAAGAGAGAGACTGGGCAAAAATAGTTTCAAAAAATGTTTTTTGAAAATATTTTGACGACCCCAATGTTAAACTTTTTTGAAGGGGTGCGTCCCATTTTGTGTGGCGTAAAAGTAACACCGCATTTCAGAAAAAAGATCCTCGTACAAAGAGTAAACTATGGTGTTGGTAGTGTGATGGTTTGGGGCTGTTTTGCTGCTTCAGGGCCTGAGAGACTTGCTATGATAAATGTAACTATCAATTCTGCTGTTTACCAAAATATAATCTGATAGTGACCTCGAGCAGAAGCAAACTGGTTGAACAATGATCCAAAAGCATGCCAGCAAGTTCACTTCTGAATTGCAGAATAAAAACAAAATAAGGACATTGGAGTGGTGTAGTCCAAGTCCTGACCTGAATCCAATTGAGTTGCCGTAGCATGCCTAATTGTTTAACTTCTTACATTCTAAAACTGCATGATGTGTTTACTTCAGGGTTTCTGCAGGTTTCACCGAGTTAAATGTAAGACTTTTTAAGACATTTTTAAGACCATTATGAATGGACTTCTTTTAGACTCATAAAGGGCTGAAGACTAAGACATTTTTTAATGGTCCAGATGGAAAAGATTTTTATTTGCACTCTTAAAAAAATACAATTTAATACATTTAATAATACAATAATACATTAATATAAAAAAATATTGTAAATTTAATTTTCTATCAAAATATTTTAAATATGGCATAAAAACAAGCAAGTTCTAGTTGTATCTATACACCTTTTTTAAACAACATAGTAACTTTAAAATAAAATAAAAATGAACAAATGAATTAAAAGTTTTAAAAACTATAATAAACTAAATGTATGCACAAAAAATCAGTCCAGATCAGTGTCCTCAGCAGTAAATACATGGAGAACTTCTAAACGAATGTTATTGTAAGGAAAACTATTAAACCATTATGATAAATAAAGTTAAAAGTTCCCTTTTTAAATGAAAAGTTTACAGTTTTATTGAGATGATTGTTTATGATTATATGGGTTTTGACCAGATTAGGTGGCAATCCATGAACAGGAAAATTAAGACCTGTTTTAAGACCTACAACACAATATTTCAGTGAATTTAACACTTTTTAAGGCCTGAAATTTGGATTTTGAGATTTAAGACTTTTTAAGACCCTGCAGAAACCCTGTTACTTGTGTTATCTTTGACTGTTTAAATTTGTTTGATGATCAAAACATTAAAGTGTGACAAACATGTAAAAAAATCTAAATAAGTAAGGGGGCAAACACTTTTTCACACTAATGTGTATAAAAATATGTGCATATATTGGCCTGTAAAGCTTCCTTGAAATTATTTAATAAACCCAAACAAAATACACCGAGTAGGATGGGAAATGAGGAAGAATATTTGAAATGAGGAAGAATGAAGTTCAAAGTTTTTTTTTAAATAAGTTACCATTTTAAAAGGTGGATCCTCTTATTTCCTTGGAAAACCACAAACCCTCTTGCAGTGAATCCCAAGAAGGCTGTGGATCCTGTAAAATCCTGAAAAGGATTAATGAAACATGAGTTTTATATTAGTTTAACCTCTGAGAAAAGTAGTATATATAACATAATTAAAATGTATTCAGAAGTTCAACAACTTGTATGAATGGTATGTTTTTTGTCTTCATGGAGTCAGTACCTTGCAGGGGTGTGGATCCACTCCATACGTGTCCAGTGTGTGAGCCCTCTGGAGAAGGTTTAACTCTGCGAGGGAAGGACACTGACCTCTACACAAACAAAACAATGTAACAATTGAAGACCTCTGACTACATAAAGTGATTAATATTCTATACAAATTTAGAAATTACATTTAAACTAAAATTTAAAAACCAATTCGGGCTTGTTTCCAACTGGTATTTCGTTTGGCATAAGTTGTCATTCAAGACACATTTCGGTTTCCATCTGGTATTTACATGATCATATGCGATCAAAGTTACTATAGTTTTGCATTTTATAATGAGCTTTTATTTCAAAACTGTTTTTAAAATGTGCTTAAATTTAAATTTAGCTTTGTTTCATCATTGGTTTTGCTCATTTTTGTTTAGCTTTTATTTTATGAACATATTTATAATTAGTTTTTACTTCTAGTGTCCGCCAAAGTAAAGATTAGTGTTTGCACAGTTTACGATAAAGGGCACCTATGAATAAAATCTTCTTTTGTAAGCTGTTTAGACAGAACGGTGTGCAGGTATAGTGTGTCCACAGTCATATTGGGGTGATATAAACACGATAAACCTCTTTTTATTAATTTTCTGACGTTAAAATAGGATGCAAATTCGTCCCATGTTGAGGCCGACCACAACATGATGTAGGAATGCGTTTTTTCAGCCCGCCGAATTGATTGACAGCTGTGTGTTAACATATCTCCGTAGTAATGTGCACAATCATATCAACAAGACAGGAGTGTGCAAAGCAACCGGGAGATCTGTTCAGCGCTCTGTGATCATCAAATGTGATCAAGAATAAGTTTTACAAGTTTAAAATGTGTTTAAAACAGTGCACGTTTGTAATGAATTACAGTGATTTTACGGTCTTTATCACCTCAGCTGTATGTCAGTACATTTATTAAAGAAGACACTTCATTCCTGATTTGTGGACATTAACATTAACATAACGGGTATTCATACAGCCATGGATATTAACCTGTATCCTTTCACATTTGCTGTGCAAAAACACACGTGTTAAATGCACATGCATGTCCGCTGTGTGTGTGCGCTTGTAATGACACTGTGTGTGACTCATCGTTGCAGAAAGGCTTGAATTAACTTCACAACAAATACATCAAATAATCATTGGTGAAGTCTTACTGTATTTTTTCTCACAAACGTTACAGGAGATCTGCTTCCTTTATGTCTGTCACTGTGCTGTTTATCTGACACAAGGCAACAGGCAACAGGCAACAAATACAGTGTGTTCAAAGTAGTAAATTCTAATTATCTAAAAGGTCTAATAAATAATCTGATGGGTGTTTAGAGCTAAACCTCATAGACACATTCTGGAGACACAAAATACTTATCTTAAAGCTTGAAAAAGGGTAAAATAGGTGCCCTTTAAATCTAAATAAACATTTTCAGCGAACCAATTGTTTGAACAGATACTGAACCCAAAACCACACAAATGCAACTTTGCTAGAAAATATATGATTTATAATTGTAATAGTTTTGTTTTAAAAATAATATATAGTTAAACATGGCTATTTCTTTTTTTTTTTGGCAGACAAAGAAAAAACTGAAACGTTGTTTTAGGTTTATATAGATATTATATTTTTGTATATAAAAATTCCCAGAATGAGTGCTTATAAATTCTGAAAAGATTTTTTGATTAGTATTTTTTTGTTGTTGTTGTTAGTCTCATTTTATTTTAGTTAACGAAAATGTTTTTGAGCGCTACAGTAGTTTTAGGGGAGCTATTATGCAAAAACCCGTTTCATGAGGGGTTTAAACACAGCTGTGTGCCATCAGTCTGTCAATATAACCACCTTCAAATGGTAAAATCGTATTCATTTTATTATCACGCTTCATAAAAACAGTCTGCAGAAAGCATAGGACGTTAGTCTTGTTTTTGAATCTGCCACTATGCTGACACATTTGAAGCTCCGTCCTCTTTTAAATTTAAAGCAACAGGCACCAAAATGACCCAATTACACTGTAAACTACAACAGCGAGCTTTATCAAATGAAATGAGTGTAGTTAACTCAAAATTGACTGAAAGTTAATTCTACTCACTTGAAAGGAGTTTTGAACTCAGTGTTGAAGGTAATGAGTTAATTAAATACCTTATTACTTCCGCTTAAATAGAGTAAGTTCACAGTATTCATATAGATTAGTTTTTAACTCAGATGGTTTGTAGCAATCCGTTTCCTCAAACGGTTTGAGTTGCCTTAACTTATTGGGTTTTACAGTACTCAGTTGGTTTGAGTTCTCTTCATTTATCGCAGGGGTCACCAATCTCAGTCCTGGAGGGCCGGTGTCCCTGCAGGGTTTAGCTCCAACTTGCCTCAACTTACCTGCCTGGATGGATCAAGTATACCTAGTAAGACCTTGATTAGCTTGTTCAGGTGTGTTTGATTAGGGTTGGAGCTAAAATCTGCAGGACACCGGCCCTCCAGGAACAAGTTTGGTGACCACTGATTTATCGGGTTTTACTGTGCTCAAATTGCTTTGTTTACTCGAATGGATTAAGTTCACAGTGCTCATTAGGATTAGCTTAGCATTAGTTGCAATCGGTTTCCTCAAGGTTTCACTTACCGTAACTTTTTGGGTTTTACAATGTAGGATCAAATTCTTAAAGAAGCAGGTTCAAGGAGTTATAAAACACTGTTTGTTTGTTATTTTGAGCTGGAACTTCACATTCACACTCTAGGCCAGGGGTGTGCAAACTCAGTCCTGGAGGGCCAGTGTCCTGCACAGTTTAGCTCCAACATTAATCAAACACACCTGAACAAGCTAATCAGTGTCTTCAAGATTACTAGAAATCTATAAGTAGGTGTGTTTGATTAGAGTTGGAGCTAAACTGTGCAGGACACCGGCCCTCCAGGACCGAGTTTGCCCATTCTTGCTCTAGGCTCATCAGAGTCTTATTTTACTTTTATTACATGACACACATTTTACAACAAAGGGGCATAATAGGTCACCTTTAACATTAAAATTAACTAAAATAACCTTTCCTGTGAACAGCTGCGTTCAGATTTCACCAAGACTAATTTAGTAATAATTCAGGATGCAGACAGAAGGTGGTCTTTTTTGGTTGTTTGAACACATTTGTCTAAATGAGAGTACACATTATTAAAGCAATGTGTTACAAACTCACACAGAGTACTCCCTGTTTATATACTGAAGCATCCTTCAAGGCTGTAATGAAATACTCAGTTTTCCACCAAAGTAACATGGGGTGCTGAAATATAATTAGGTAAACTGGCAGTGGTCGAAGTTACACAGACCAAAACAAAGACAGACATGTTTCTTTAATATCTGCAAACATATTATGGTATTTTTATGCTTTTGAAAAGTCAAAAATGTACATCAAATTTTAAAAAAAAGTGCACTTTTCTTTTCTTTTAGTTTAAATTCAACTTGTTTTATTTAGTTTTATTTATTTCAACTTAGAAAATAAGATTGTAAACATCATAAGGGTGTGATAAAATGGATGGAAGTACGGTGGAGTAAAGGAAGTGTGTTAAACATAACTTCTGGCCACTTCATACAATTTCACTTGATATGGTTATCTTAAATCTTAATACACAAACTGTCAAAAGTCTTGTCGCCTATGCAAGTTTTAGGAACAGCAAATAATAACTTGATTTCTAGTTGATCATTTGGTATCAAGCCATATCAACCTGCAGCCTAAGACCGGTTACTCACTGAAGCTAAGCAGGGCTGAGCCTGGTCAGTACCTGGATGGGAGATCACATGGGAACACCAGGTTGCTGTTGAAAGTTGTGTTAGTGATGCCAGCAGGGGGCGCTCAACCTGTGGTCTGTGTGAGTCCTAATGCCCCAGTAAAAGTGAAGGGGACACTACACTGTCAGTGGGTGCCGTCTTTCGGATGAGACGTTAAACCGAGGTCCTGACTCTCTGTGGTCATTAAAAATCCCATGGCACTTCTCGTGAAAGAGCAGGGGTGTAACGCTGATGTCCTGGCCAAAGTCCCTCTATCGGCCCTTACGATCATGGCCTCCAAATCATCCCCTTCCACTGAATTGTCTCTATCACTGTCTCTCCACTCCACCAATAGCTGGTGTGTGGTGAGCGCACTGGCACCGTTGTCCTGTGGCTGCCGTCGCATCATCCAAGTGGATGCTGCACACTGGTGGGGGTGTGGAGAAACCCCCCCTCATGATTGTAAAGCGCTTTGGGTGTATGGCCATACACAATAAATGCGCTATATAAATACACATTACATTACATCAGAAGTGGCTTATATGAACGGCAAAGGCCACTAGATTATGCTTATTTTATCAAAATAAAATATGATCATGCCTTGATTTTGAATTATTTAATAAGGACAGTAAGGTCTGACTTTGCTAACACAAAAGTCGAAAGCGTTCTTGCAGGACTCCCAGAGCTCAAGAACCTTCGGATTCATCTTCAATGCCTTCATTTTACCCCAGACATGCTCAATAATGTTCATGTCTGGTGACTGGGCTGGCCCAGCGACAAGACTTTGACGACAAGACTTCTGTCAGGTAGTGTATATTTTTTGTGGGTTAATTATTTGCCATAAAAAAAGAAGGAAGTGAGTTCAAGATAAATACCATATTTTTAATCACCACAACACAAAAATTATCATGCAAATAATTTAAAGGCCCCTCATTGGGTCAGCTTAAAAAACTGTGTTTTGTCTCTGACCTCAGCTCGTTCTGGTGGATCTCCATGATCTTGCGCTCCAGCTTGAGGGATTGTTTAGGGAAGAGCTTGAAGTCGCTGATGTAGTCTGCAGGATGCTCTTCGGGGTCATAATCTCCAAGCTCAGCTAAAACACAGATTCACATCTTATAAATGACCATTAATATTCCTGCATATCTAGAACAAGACACTCTCATCGGTTTCTAATCTAAATGAGCTTCATATTCGTCACAATCCCTCTCCTTCACTCTGAGAGCAGGGAAATGTGGAAAGAGGTTTTTGAAATATGACTGTTCATTAGTTTAAAAGCTTCCAGACGAAAGTGTCTCAGGAACACGATGTGACGTGATGAAACGTGTGATTGGTTGTAAAGGGTGTCTGTAGATGAGGTTACAGTCGTACCCTGGACGATGCAGGCTCCGAGATATGCAGCATCAGCGAATGGACACAACAGCCTGCCGTGATACACGTCTCTCTTCAACTGGAGATACAGAAGATACCTGAAAGAGAAAATAGAGAGAAAATTAGAGAGAGAGCAGACTTTAGCCTACTTTTTATGTAAAAAATGTAAAATAATCCACATGATTGCTTTATCAGATGCTACACTGCAAAAAATGCTTTTCTTGCTTAGATTTTTTTGTCTTGTTTTTAGTGCAAATATCTAAAAATTCCTAAATCAAGAAGAATTTTCTAAACAAGCAAAACATATTGCCTTGTTTTGAGAAATATTATGCCAATATTAAGTCAGTTTTTCTTTAAAACAAGCAAAATAATCTGCCAATGGGCTAAGCAAAATAATCTTACGTCATAAGAAAAAAACAAGATTAATTTGCTTACCCCATTGGCAGATTATTTTGGTAAAATTAAATTACTGACCATGTTCCACTAGAATAATAAACACTGATAAACTGTTCACAGAAAGAATGTTTCATTTTGATTTCTGCAGTTTATAGAACGAGACTGTAATGCATTAGCTAGACACGTGTGTCTGCTATTACAGTTTTTTACAATGGCTATGACACTTTTTTCAATACATTTAACAAGTTTGCTAAACTCTTAACACAGCAACACACCTAAAATACACAATTGGCAAAACAGTTAATTTTATGCTCAAAATCACACATTATAAACTAAACCTCTAAACTACTTTTCAAAATACAATAATAAACGAACACACTACACCATGTCTAACAAAACACTGCAAACATGTTTCAAAATGAAATTATTGTTCAAAACACTAACACATGTTCTCTTCCAACATAAACATTCAGTCAATCAGAACATACTGACAATAAAAACACTATCATCAGCTGACATTACAGAAACTGCATTAGTTTATGTGTCAGCTCTGCCTTTATATTTGAAGTCTCGTTGCAGTTTTGTTTCGTTGGGTTAAGTAAATGCATGCATTTTCTTTCGTTTACGGCAAAAATTCTATACAAAACGAAGAAAAAAAATTGCTTTATAAAATTTACAGTTTATGTAAAAAAAATAGAGACACAGAATTTCTGCAGTACATACTTTTTTTGCAGAAGGACATCACTGCAAACAGGAAAAGCACCACAATTATAATAAAATAACAAAGTAATCTTCTATTCTGCCCGGTCTTTTGCCACAAGTTCTCATCCACATTATACTTGATATCTTCTGTGGCCCGGCACGGTAACTGTGGCCCTTTGGTCTATTATGTTTTTCCTACGGCGACATCCCCAGCCTTGTCAACATTGAAAATTTCATGTGGTACTTGATTGGCCTCTAACTTCATGACTCTCTGAAAGTAATTAGACACAGTGTATGCAAATGCTGTACTGTATATGTACTGTATGTACTAATGAACTCCAGGTTTAAAGAGTAGTTTACTGCAAAACACACTGTGTATAGTACAGTAATGACTGTATTGCATAATCTTACATGGACGTATTGGTGACAGAGTTCTTTGATGTTCCTTTCAAAAACCTCAAAAGTCCTCAATTAGAACATATGATCATGTGATTGGAAAAACCAAAACAAGACATGAGTGTGCTTTCTAGATGGGAATCAGCTGTCATATATATATATATATATATATATATATATATATATATATATATGAGAGACTCATATTGCGGTTATATATATATATTAAAAAAATTTTTATAAATAAATAAATATATATATAAATATATATATATATATATATATATATATATATATATATTTTTTTTTTTTTTAATTTTTTTTTTATTTATATAACCGCAATATGCTGTTTCTCATTGGCAATTGAATAAAATAAAGGGAATAAACTTGTGTTTCAATTCACAATTAGAACAGCTGTTCACTTTGACTTTATCCTATATAATTTCTGTTTAGAACATGGTGTTATCTGTTCTGACATACTGTGTTAAAGCATTTGTAAATTTGACTGTAAAATTACATTGTTTTGTTCCTGGTTGTGCTTGTGTGTAAAAGAAGTTAAAGCATTTTAAATTTGTGTTAACTGGATGCATTTTGTGTCAAAACAACAAGAAATGTGTTAATTGTATAGCCCACGAAGACGGATGTTGTGCTAACTGTGTTAAGAGTTTAGGAAACTTGTTAAATGTATTGATAAAAGTGTCATAGCAATTGTAAAAAACTGTAAGTAGTTTCCATTTTCTCCATTCTTCCTCTTCCTAACCCACTGCACTCAAATGCATTCTTTATATTAAATATTAAAGAGAAAAAGAGAGAGAGCGAGGTAGGGGGAAAATATATAGATGTTTTCTATGTCAAACCAAGCTTTTAACAGAGAAAGCCTTGGTTCAGGAACATTAATGCACCTCCATCTCAAACTCCTTTCTTCCTCTTTCACAGGATGTAACCATTTAAACTCAGGCAACCTGCGCTCTTCAATACACTCACACATGCACTCAGGCTTCGTCTGGCCACAGGAACATTCTGGTCTTCCAGGGCAGAGAAAGCATGCAAGATCCAGAATACATTTATCTTCACAGTTCAGATGGTCCACGCATTGAGCCCCATGTTGCGAGAGCAGCAGTAATGAGTTAGTCACACTGACAGTCTGTGTGTGTGTGTGTGTGTGTGTGTGTGTGTGTGTGTGTGTGTGTGTGTGTGTGTGTGTGTGTGTGTGTGTGTGTGTGTGTGTGTGTGTGTGTGTGTGTGTGTGTGTGTGTGTGTGTGTGTGTGTGTGTGTGTGTGTGTTTGGGAGGAATCAGTGAGATGGAATCAAAGCCTGCTTTAGGAATGTTGCTCTGTGATAATGTTAGAGAAAACACGTGAAACACACTGACACTGACAGCCTTTTTAGATTATTTTTGGTTCCATTTGATGGGAAAAAAATCCTATTAACATAAAATTGAGGGGTAAACATGCTTAATATTCATTTATGGAAAAACAAGGATGTCCAAACTGATGAAACGAAAAGACTTCTTCATCAAATTCTATTTAAAAACATGGAATGTCTTCCCTAATTTAAAAAGTTCATGTGTAACCCCGCCAGTGCTACGCCACCCAACCTGCTCCAAGCTGGTATTGAACCGACGACCTACCGCATGGGAGTCAGTTGCTCAACCAAGGAGGCTAAAGACCATGGCCTCTAGCGTCTGTCGCTAGAGCACCTTTAGAGGTTAGAGAAGTGAGGTTTACCTGCACAGCACTTAACTAGCTGGCCTCTATTACACACGGTAATCATTATTACTCAAGTATACGAAAAGTAATAAGAACTCGAATGTATTTTGGATTATTTGGAGGTTTTTTTGATGCAACCCAGGCTCATTCTGAAAACGTACCCCTATATACATTTCCGGAGAGCACCAAATTTGTCCCAGGAGGAACGTTTTTTTGCAGTTTTTCCGAATCCACCAGAGGCCACTGTGTACGCTTTTTGAGATCTCAAATTTCTCTTGCAAGTGCCATTCACGCCTGCTGTTCAATCCACCAGAGGCTGCTGTTGATTGACTGATTGATCCACCCTACATTTTCCATAAACCCAACCAATAGTGTGTTCAAATGCACAGATTGACCTGCTTTCTGAAACCGTACCGAACCTTGTCATCATGGTCAACATCGGTCATTCCGCTGTGGCGACCACGGGTTAATAAGCTGTCGGCGCACTAGCCTAGTGGTTAGCGTGCTGACATATGGTGCAATAGCACGTCAGGGCGTCGTGAGTTCGAATCCCGGCTTGAAGACATTTCCCTACCCCCTCTCTCTCTGTCCCACTTCGCTTCCTGTCTTGATACTGTCCTATCTAATAAAGGCAAAAAGGCCAAAAATAAATCTTAAAAAAAAAATTCATAAAGGGACTAAGCTGAAAAGATAATTAATGAATAAATCTTAATAAGCAAATTTGAATTGTGACAAACTAAAGTGATACCATAAATTTTTGTAGCAGAATACATCTTCTTGTTTCGTTTTTTTTTAATTTTTGGAGCGAAATGAGACCTGGTACATGTTGTTTGACAGGTTCGAGATATTCACTATAATAAGATCACACTGGTTACTCTGACATGAAAGCCGCCGCAGATCAAGCGCTCTGGCTTCGGCTGCAAAGTAAACATGCTCTTTCCAAATGAAACTGGAACAATCTGCCCAGGAGGCGTTTTTTTAAAATGCAAATCTCTTCCAGAGCATCCTCCGTCTCGCACACTTGACTCCAGCAATTCAGAGCTGTTTACACTGGAATCGGCCGGAGCCGCTTAATGTTATTCTAACAGCATTTGAGCATTAGATCAGAGAACGGTTACCTTGTCAGCTCTTCCTTGATCTTGATGGGCTCCTGAGGGTAGAACTTCACCCTGAAGCACATGGTGTACGGCTGCTGACCTGAAAACAGCACAACATCAACAATCAAACACCCAGAGAGAGAGATAGAGAGAGAGTCTTGAGCGTACGCCAGTAAATGTGATGCAGATTATGCAGAGAAGTGTAACCGAGGGCATGAGGAGAGCTAAAATGATTATATTAATCCACGAGATGAGGGAAACCCCTCTGGTGAAGGATGCAATGAAGTCTTCGAAGATAAACGTAATGAGTCGGTGAAGTTAAAAGCTCGGAGGGAGAGATTGATTTCGTTGACGTCACTTTAGAGAACGTCTGGCTAAAAGGTCTACGATCTCTCTCTCTCTCTGTCACTTGTCCATCCACTTCCTCTCTATACAGTAATTATACAAAGTCATTTTATTTCCATTTCGGGAACATGAGAGGGATTTATTCTCAGTAAAAGACATTTCAAAGGTAAAGTCTATTGTTGTAAGCCTAAAAGAAGGAATCCAGCCGGCACAACATCATATTACATTGATCTTTAGTTTTGTTTTGGTTGGTGACCTGTGGCCTGGGGTCTGTTCTTCGTAGGTGGATTACTCAGTTAGCTGGATTTGTTTATGGATTTGTTCAATTCATATAAACAGGATTAGATCGGGTCAGTTCAAGCAAAGATAATACTGAAAGTATGTACCGAATTCTGATATTTTCTTACAGTAGTAGTTATTTACACTTGGGAAAATAGTAAATATTTAAACTATATATATATATATATATATATATATATATATATATATATATATATATATATATATATATATATATATATATATATATATCTTGATACCTCAGGCTGTTGATGCTGCCATCCACTCTGCAGATCTCTTGCATACCCCCACACTGAATGTAACCCCAAACCATGATTTTTCTTTTAACAAACTTGACTGATTTCTGTGAGAATCTTGGGTCCATGCAGATTCCAATGGGTCTTCTGTAGTATTTGTGAGATGATTGAAGTTCAACAGAATCTACAACAAATCGACCTTCTGCCACTAGTTTGATCAACTAGAAGTCAAGGTATTATTTGTTGCTCTTACAACTGGGATTGACAACAAGACTTTTGGCAGGTAGTGTGTGTAAAGAGTAGCATGTCTTATATAGCCAGGAGCTATATAAGGCATACGCAATATAGATAAAACTTACATTTCATCTGTTTCACTACTGGTTTGCTCGGGTCCAACCAATGCTGTAAAAAAAAGACATGAAAAAAAAGAAATTATTGACTGCTGTGTACAGAGATGGTGACAAATCAAAACATTTTATGGCAAGCACTCTATACAAGCATCCTGCTCAGGAAATGATCGTAAACAGCATTCCCACTGATGAGCCTTTCTATAACGGCCATTAATATTACAACATAAATGAGTGTAAATAATTCACTGCAGTGCTGCCGGGAGCTTTTCTGCTCGACTGAAGAAACATTGTCTTACATACAGTAGGGAAAAACCCCTTGCTCGGTTGTCATGGCAACTTTGTTCAGATTTTACAGTCGGTATAATAAGCTACTTAAGGTTGAACAATCTACCCTGGTGACAATGTAGAAACTAGTTTGTGTAACATTGGTAAGCTTTTCTGTACTTTACATCACTGTTCAAAAGTTTGAGGCTAGTATTATGTTTCAGGAAAATAAAACTTACCACAATGTTATTATCTATGTTGTACTTGCGAGTCAGCAAGTAAAATGCTGACCCAGCTTGGGCTCGAACCAGCTACCTTCTTGCTGTAAGGCAATTGTGCTACCCACTGCGCCACTCTGTTTATCACTATTATTGTTGTTATAATTTTTATTAATAATGCTATTATTATTATTCTCATTACTATTATTATTATTATTATTCTCACTATTATTATTATTATTATTAGTATTATTGTTGTTGTTATTATTTTCACTATTATTATTATTATTCTCACTATTATTATTATTATTATTATTATTATTATTATTATTATTATTATTATTATTATCACTATTATTATGATTTTTTTATCACTATAATTATTATTATATTTTTATTTTTATATTATTTTCATTATTATTTTATTATTTATATTATTATTATTATTATTATTATCATCACTTTTATTATTATCATTCTCACTATTATTATTATTATCACTATTATTATTATTTTTATCACTATAATTATTATTATATTTTTATTTTTATATTTTTTCATTATTATTTTATTATTTATATTATTATTATTATTATGATTATTATTATTATTATCATCATCATCATCCTCATCATCATCATTATTATTATTATTATTATCATCATCACTTTTATTATTATTCTCACCATTATTATTATTATTATTATTATTATTATTATTATTATTATTATTATTATTATCACTATTATTATTATTATTATAATTATTATTATCACTATTATTATTATTATTTTTTTTATCACTATTATTATTATATTTTTATTTTTATATTATTTTTAATTACTGTTATTATTGGTCAAATTGTTACAGGATGTTGAATGTGCTGGCCAGTCAGTTATTTGTCTAATAAATGACAATTTACTTGGCCTTATTAGGCAGTTTTTAATTTAAAGCCTTAATCCTTAATCCTTTTTTTCCCTAATGATATATGATGTGATAAATTTGTATTTTCAAAGTGATACATTTACATATACATATATATACACATATACATGTGTATATATATATATACACATATATATATATATATATATATATATATATATGTGTATATATGTATATATATGTGTGTATATATATATATATATATATATATATATATATATATATATATATATATATATATATATATATATATATATTATTTTTATTTCTTGAGACAAGCTAGTCCAGCTAAAAATAGTGCTTAAAATGTCACTAAAATGCAGTATTTAAACCTCAAAGTTAAAAAGAAGATAAAGCAAATAATTGCAAAAAGATCCACTTTTTGAGAAAAAAATTATTTCACCAGGATGACTACGGTCCTGCTTTATAGCCAAAAGAAGTTGGGTTGGTAAATGTGTATTTATTTACCCTCTGTTTGTCTGGATCCACATATCTGATGCCGAAGTAATCTTTCTCCAGCAGGCTGTAGTGATTGCACACATGATCCACCAGAAACTGCCCTTTAGTGTCTCTCTGTAGAGGAAAAACATAAAATAAATAAAAAATCAAAACCATTTTCAAATTTAAAAGGTGATTAAAAAATCACTTTTTAACAGTTGTGTGGTAACAGTGTGTGAATATAACCAGCTTCTAATGGTAAATATGTATTAATTCAGTATTTATAATTACACTTGATGAAAACACTTTATTGACATTCTCCTGCTCTACCATAATGTATGCGAAAGTTATTGTATTCCAACTGATGAGAGGTGCTATACAAGCCACAGGGACCAATCATTGTTTTCATATTTCATTATTCTTTTGTTTGATCAAACATAATTCACTGTGTTTGAACCACATCAGATATATAAAAGGATTACTTATGCACATCACCTCAGAAATACAGGAGAAATGGCCCTGAAGCGCACAGCATAAGGTAAGAGATGACAGCTGTCTGTGCTATCTGGGGCTGCTTAGTGATCATAAATGTATTGCTTTCACTTCTGCGCCATGGAAACACCATAATTCATTCAGCAACTGTTTGATATGTGAATATAATTCAGTTAAAAGAATGCTAGAACCGTATGAGCACTGGCAAGAGCTTTCATTTGAGCTATAACTTGTACATGTGTCATATGAAAAATATGAAAATGAACCAATGTAAAATACTCTGCTCTGGTATCCAAAATATTGTGTATTTAAGTGTAAATAACTTTTGTACAGTAGAATAAAAACCAAAGTGATGCATATGTGCATAAAATATAGATTCTACACTTTCAAATGAAACCCCTTACGGGGTCTGGTGCAATGCTAGCACTTTAAATCTTAAAGCGAAAGTCTATGACGTCACGGACCCGGTACCGGGTCTGCAGAGAAACTTTTTCCGCAACATTGCGCCAGAACAACAGCATATACAACTATGACAATGATCACCACAGGTACTGATTATAGGCTTTATTCTGTGTTAATGCTACCAATGTGAGTTTGAATAGCATTTTACATGACATTTACTGCCATACTTGTAACTGTAGGGTTGCTGGACAACAGAGGTGAAGGTGCACACGCAGTTTATTAAACAGATTAGTCAAGCAGACATAGGTCAAGACAGGGGCAAACAGAAGCATTCAGGAAATCCAGAAACGTAGTTAAGAAACAGGCAAACGGTCAGGACAGGCGGCAAAAACAACAAAAACATCAAAATCAAAGTCTGTGTGTGTGTGCGCGCTGTTTATATGGTCCATCTGATTATTCCATCATGAGCTTCCAGCTGTGTGAGTGCAATCAGGGAGAGAACTGGAACTGGTGTGCAGTGCATGATGGGATTTGTAGTTCTTACCAGTGACATATGTGTAGTTCTCTAGCGATGTGCACAGGCTAGATCATTGGTGATTGTGACAATACTACATAAACACCAGGGCCCGGTTTTTCAAAAGTAATCCACTAGGATTTTGGATAAGGGATTGGATCAAATCTTAAAAATGGGTTTTTCAAAAGAAAAAACAGATTACATAATCGGATTAGATCATGTAATCCAATCTTTGTTTTGATCCGGATCAAACCTTTAGTGTGGGTTTTTTGGACCTTTTTTGTAGGATCTGGATCACTTTGATCCAAAAAACATGGATTAAACTGATCCCATCAGAAGGGTGGATTTAGCGTGGATTTCATGCCTAAAATGTCATGAAAACTTAAAAAATTTATTAAACAATACTATTTTTGGATCATGCAGTATCTTACGAGATATACTATTTATTCATAAGGTTTTAATTTTATTTGTTCATCTGTCAGGCTATAGTGATTATTGGCTTTAACGTATTCAGCCTTTCTGTATAGGCCTCCAGCAAAGTAGAAAGAGTTTGGCCTCATAAAATAATCCCCCAAACAGCTGTCAAAACTGACCAAAAACAATACATTTTATTCCGTCACTAATTGATATATATATATATATATATATATATATATATATATATATATATATATATATATATATATATATATATATATATATATATATGTATTCATCACAATGGAAAATATTTTTCTTATTAGAATATTTATTAATGATGATAGCAATGATTACAGAATAAACAAAAAATGCAAGAAATGGCAATGACTGATTTTTGAAATCTCTTTCAGCAATTGCAAAAAGAGACTGAAAGGGCAGAAGCACAGCTTCGCCTGGCAGAGAAACAACTGACTCTAACCAAACTGCAGCAAACCAAGGCCAGACTTGAGATCCCCCTCCTAAAGCATACGCTTCACATCAGATGAGGAAGTCTGAGATTATTGTGGAGTTTTTGACATTAAGTATTTTTTAAATTTACATCTATATTTGAAACTTATTATTAATATCCTCAATGTACAGTGTTTGTGTTGTAGGTCTCAGATGAGCGGACTGCTGGAAAAGGATGGGGTGGGCTTTTTCTTGTTTTTCTTACTTATTATTATTATTAATTAATATTTATTACATTTTCTTAGTTTTCATTAAAAAAAAAAAAGTTATATTGACCCCACGCTGGCTATTCTACTTGTCGCTCTTTACATATCTATAGTTCTACATTGTGATTTCCTATCCTGTTTGAGCACTGGTAATCCAGATTTAGTGATCCTGAAAAGTTCCTATCCAGATCAGATTGATCCAATCCAATGTTGCTTTGAAAAACTGGCTCAAAAAGTAAGCTGGATTACCTGATCACGGATCGCAAAAACAGAATTGCTAAATCTGGATCAATTTGATCCGGATTAAACCTTTTGAAAAACTGGGCCCAGCAGATAGTTTACCTCAGATCTTAAAAATAAACTAGGTTAAAAAATTAAAGGGAGTTTGAAATTAAGGAGTTCGCTTCATTAACTTTTGTTGTTAAAAATTAATCTCTTGTATAAGAAATAATGCATATAAAAATTGTGCACATTACCAGAAAAATCACTGGCGGCTAATTACACTGCTTTTGTAGCATAATTTGCATGACCAAACACATATATATTGTTTTATGATATTATGGTAGCACAAACATTTTGAAAATTGCACTGATAAATCATTTATAACTAATTTTGCAATATTCCATAAATAATTTTGATGCTGTATAATTGAACATTCCTCTAACAATTCATTTTTAGACATGTTTTATGTGCAAAAATGGCACAGCTGTGAACACATGGTTCTGCAGGAAACACTGACTGATGATGGTTTATGATCTCATACAGGACAGCGTCTCTGCTCCACTGAGCAGCTCTGCTTCGGTTCTGATGACCATCAGCTTTTTGACCTTGCTGTTATTACCCGTGACGCAGGGTGCCATCGCACACTCCTGATATGTGAAATACATCTCACTGCGGGGACTCCAATATCACCACACACAATGAAGACTGGCCTCGACATTCTGCTCATGCACTATGACAAAATCATCTTAGAGCTTCAGTTTCTGAACATGATGAAATACAAAATATTTAATATCTCTGTGCACTTTTGAAAATGTGAAACAAGGATTAAGTGCTACACCGGCCCGGATTAGGAAGAGAATTCTAACATGATCACATATGTTTTCTCTCATATCAACATCAGAATTGCATTTTTACATGATAAGCACTAGACAGTTATGAGTGGAGTTTGCTCGTTTAAACTCACAGCGGTTGCTAGGGTGTTGCTATGTAGCTGCTAAGATGTCCCAAGTGATTTGTTAGGGTGTTGCCAGCATAAATGTGGTATTTCTATTTGCTAATATGTTCAGTTATTGTGTCGCCAAATTGCGATGTTGTAAATGATGGTTGCTAAGGTGTTTCTATGTTGTTGCTAAGGCATTCTGAATGCTTATTAATGTGTTGTCACAATGCTAGAGAGCTATTTGTGGTTGCTAAGGAGTTCTGGGTAGTTGATTGTGTCACCACATTGTTAATGTGTTGATATGTTGATGATAATGTGTATTGTGTACACATATTGTGTAAATGGTGGTTGCTAGGGTGTTCCAATATGGTTGCTAAGGTGTGCCGGGTGATTGTTAAAGTGTTGCCAGCATAAATGTGCTATTTCAGTTTGCTAATGTGTTTAGAATACTTCTTAGTGTGCCCCCATATTGCTAGGATGTAAATGATGGTTGCTAAGGTGTTTCTATGTTGTTGCTAAGGCATTCCGAATGCTTATTAATGCGTTGTCACAATGCTAGAGAGTTATTTGTGGTTGCTAAGGAGTTCTGGGTAGTTGATTGTGTCACCACATTGTTAATGTGTTAATATGTTAATGATAATGTGTATTGTGTACACATATTGTGTAAATGGTGGTTGCTAGGGTGTTCCAATATGGTTGCTAAGGTGTCCCGGGTGATTGTTAGAGTGTTACCAGCATAAATGTGCTATTTCAGTTTGTTAATGTGTTTAGAATTCTTCCTAGTGTGCCCCCATATTGCTAGGATGTAAATGATGGTTGCTAAGGTGTTTCTATGTTGTTGCTAAGGCATTCCGAATGCTTATTAATGCGTTGTCACAATGCTAGAGAGTTATTTGTGGTTGCTAAGGAGTTCTGGGTAGTTGATTGTGTCACCACATTGTTAATGTGTTGATATGTTGATGATACTTTGTATTGTGTACACATATTGTGTAAATGGTGGTTGCTAGGTTGTTCCAATGTGGTTGCTAAGGTGTCCCAGGTGATTGTTAGGGTGTTGCCAGCATAAATGTGCTATTTCAGTTTGCTAATATGTTTAGAATGGGATGTAAATGATGGTTGCTAAGGTGTTTCTATGTTGTTGCTAAGACATTCTGAATGCTTGGTTATGTGTTGTCACAACGCTACAGAGTCATTTGTTATTGATGAAGAGTTCTGAGTGATTGTTAGTGTGTCATAGTGTTAGGGTGCTGCTATGCACTGTTTAGCTGTTGCCACAGTGCTGTTGTTTAAATAGTGGTTGCTAAAATCTGCTATGTGGTTGCTAAGGTGTTCTGAGTAGTTGTTAGGGTGTTGCCAGCATAAATGTGCTATTTCAGATTGCTAATGTGTTCAGAATACTTGTTTGTATGCTGTCATAATGCTAGTGTAATAA